GAGTTGAAGTCCACAAGTCTTAGACTTGCCAAGTTTGAAGACCCTTGCCCTACACCCTTCCAGACAAATGGCGGTCCAGTCTGTTCTTTAAAAACCTCCAGTGATGGAACACCCACAACTTTAGGAGGCAAACTGATTGTCACTGACAAGAAATTTCTCCCTATTGGAAGTTGCTAGTTGGATCTCACCTTGGTAAGTTTTCATCTCTTACTTCTTCTCCTGACTCCAAGTATTTTGGAGAATAGGGTGACCCACTCTTCTAATAATGGATGGAAGGTGAACAAGGAAAGAAACTGGAAATAAGGAGAAATTTTCTGACATCGAGAGCAATCAACCCACGGAACAGAAGTTGCCTTAGGAAGTTGTGGGAGCTATTCTATTCTAAATATGGTCTTACCAAAGCCATATCAAGCGGTACTAACACTTCACACGATCTTGATGCTATCCCTCTGTTATCCCAAAGGTGCCTTTCTTTTTCAAGAGGCAACTGGACTTTCTGGTTTTTCTTTGAAGACGTTTCGCTTCTAATCCAAGAAGCTTCTTCAGCTCTGTTGATGCGGTCCCGGACTGCATTAGGGTTTTTTTTTGGCAGCTGCAGTACAGTACTGCCTGATATTTAAGTATCTACTAGGACTCCAGGATCCCTCTCACCGTTGCTGGTTATTGTTTGAGAAAAAGCAGGACTTGTGAAAAGGCCCTTAGAGAGCTGTCTCTATCTTGGGTGCATGGCGACGATATTGAATAGAAAGAGCTTGTTGTATCCAAACTATTCAGCAACTCTTTGTAGGAACCCCTCAAACAATGGAATAATATCATGTCATGATAACAGTTAATTAAAAGCTTTCTTCTCCTATCTGTAAATGGTTTGTTTTAATAATGGTATGCAATAACATTAATTGATTGATTAATAATAGTTTGTTTATTGGAAGCTTTCTTTTCCACCTGGAAAACATTTGTTATAACAAAGATTATTTCCAGTGCTTGTGTTGCTACTGCTGTACCACTGTTGGTTTTTTTATTAATTATTTATTAGATTTAACAATAGTCTCATATTACAAAGGCCCTTTTCGTTTGGGTATCAATTGCCCTCCCCTGTAAGTAGTTGTCTACTGGGACTCCGAGATCCCTCTCACCATTGCTGCTTATTGTTTGGAAAAACCAGGTCTTGTGAAAAAGCCATGTCTCTACCTTGGGGTAGTCCTGCTAGAAATACTTCAAAACCTTCTTTCAAAAGAGAAACGGACCGTAAGGAGCTTGTTTTGTCCAAACTATTCATCAACTCTTGTAGGGCAGCTGCGTCAGCTGCCAGCTGGATTTTGAGCATGGACCCAACTTGCTGACTTGTGACTCTCGTTACGATGTGATTGTCACCAGTGTTTCTCCCCCCTCCCCTTCTCTCCCACAGGTAAATCACACCTGGCTATAGTCCAGAAGGTGAACAATGAAGGTGAAGGGGATCCCTTCTACGAAGTGTTGGGATTGGTAACGTTGGAAGACGTCATTGAGGAGATAATCAAATCAGAGATCCTGGACGAATCGGATATGTACAGTTACGTTCATTTTAAATCTTCCCCTTTTCGATGGGAGGGATATATATTTTGCTAAGTACACCACTTGCTGTGGTAACCTGGCTTACCTATGAAAATTCATGAATGTTTTATCATATGTGATATTTTACTGTTGTTGTGGCCTGTCGACCGCTGGCTCCTCCAGCAGCTGAATCAGATGAGGAGGGGTGTGGGATAGAGTAAACATCAGGGCAACCTGAGGGCTCCAAGGAGGAAGAGGGAATGGAGCTAGCAGAGAGAGAAAGGGAGAGAGAGAGAGAGAGAGAGAGAGAGAGAGAGAGAGAGAGTTAGGCTTAGGGGAGAGAGAGACAGAGAGACAGAGGCGGAGTCTGGGCTGCCCGTCAGCTCTCAGATGGAGAGTCAACAGGCCCCAGGTCTGGAGGTGGCTGATGAGGAAGAGGAGGAACAGCTGGGTCCAGTGCCTGACTTTCGGATGTGCAGAGGAGAGGAGAGCAGTGGAAATCTATAGGCCGGTCCTTGGGATAGAAGAGCCACTGCTGCTAGCGAAGCCCCACCATAGCTCTGGGGATAAAAGGCAGGAGGCAGAGATGAATAGGGGTAGCTGCTGGATGGACTTGTTAGCCTGCCGTGAGAGTGAAACTTTTTACCAAGGATGCCAGCATTCCTAACAAAGGAATCTTTGAGTTAACTTCAGAGGGTTTATTGTCTTTGAAGAGCTAGGTCAGAACAATTGTACTGGATTTCTGGCCAAAGGCCATAGTATGATTTTGATCTATATCAAATACCAGAAGGAGACCTCAGGGGCCAACCTAGATACCCATCAGGCTACCTATTCCCATCTGACTCGTTTTGAAAATATTATCGCAATTTAAAAGCTGTAATTGTGATAGGCCGACAAGGCGAAACTTTAGCTTCTCTGTGGTCCTCCTTATTTGTCTGTAGGTATCTACAGAAGGATGGTGGAGATCCTTCTGGCCAGCAGGCATTTTGGGAAGAGTAAAGTCTTCCATGGCAGCCATTTTGTGACCCAGCTCCATACAGACCTTCTCAAAGTCCCCTATGGACTCCAGTCCTCCCCAAATACTGCCTGCCCCTGACATGAAGAATGTTTTCTCACAATGGCTCTCTTCCACAATGCCATGAATTGATGAATTATGCAACACACATGGTTCACGCATCTTGCAAAGACTCAGAAGTCTCTAACCGTGACCACTTTAAGACTTGTGGACTTCAACTCCCAGAATTCCTCAGCCAGCTTTGCTTTTGCTGGCTGAGGAATTCTGGGAATTGAAGTCCACAAGTCTTACAGTTGCCACGTTTGGAGACCTCCACACTTAAGATGACATTCATTTATCGGGTTGGGATGAGCAGCTTATGCCAACATTGTGTCTTTAATGACTTTGCTCCTCACTTGTCACCGTAGCCGACAACCGCAGCAAGAAGCGTGTGAGCCACAAGAAGGACAAGAAAGATTTCTCTGCTTTCAAAGACAACGACACAGAGTCCAAAGTGAAGATTTCCCCACAACTACTTCTGGCTGCCCATCGCTTTCTCTCCACCGGTAAGAACCCCCCCCCTGGGGGGGGGATTTCGAAAATGTATTTATTGATTTGGTTTGATTTGTCAATTGCTTACAAGATAATAAGTATAAACATGAGTAAGAATACAGGAAATAGGAAAGAAAAAATGAGGACAATAGACAGGGATGGTAGGCACGATGGTACACTTATGTATGCCCCTTATAGACCTTTTAGGAATGGGTATTTTCTCCCATCCTTTCCTTCCTTCCTTCCTTCCTCCTGCTCCCTCCCTTCTTTTCTCTTCTCCCTCCCTTCTTTTCTCTCCTTCCTTCCTTCCCCGTTCTCCTTCCTCTCCCTTCCTTCTTTCCTTCATTTTTTATTTATTTGATTTGTCAATCGCTTACAAGATAACAGGCCTAAGTATAAACATGAGTAAGAATATAGGAAATAGGTACGAATAAATGGGGGCAATAGGGCAGGAACGGGAGGCAGGACGGTGCACTTATGCACAGCCCTTACACACCTCTTAGGAACGGGATGAGGTCAACAGAGGTTAGTTTGAGGGTAAAGGAGTGGGGGTTTGAGCAGGTGACAACAGAATCAGGTAGTGAGTTCCAGACATTGACCGCTCTGTTGCTGAAATCGTACTTCCTGCAATCAAGTTTGGCGCAGTGTAGACGTTTTTATCCCTTATTAAAGAAATGGGTTTTTTTTTAATCTCCTCCTTTCTACTTTTCACTGGGAGGTCAAAGCAGAGACCTCGACTTAACAACAGTTCTTTATAGTAACTGTTCAAAGTTACAACGGCACTGAAAAAAAAGGAACTTACGACGTTTTCACAGTTCTAACCATTGCAGCATCCTCAAAGTCATGTGATAGAAATTCAGATGCTTGGCAACGGCTTCATGTTTATGACGGTTGCCATATCCCAGGGACACATGATCCCCTTTTGCAACCTTCTGACAAGCGAAGTCAGTGGGGGAAAGCCAGATTCACTTAACAACCATGTCACTAACTTAACCACGGTGATTCACTTAATGACCATGGCGAACAAGGTTGTAAAGTGGGGCAAAACTTTCTTAACAAATGTCTCACTTAGCAACAGAAATTTTGGGCTCAGTTGTATTCATGGGAAGCTCCTTTTGTTTTATCTCTGCATGGGACCACCTGGAAGAAGGTTGGGTTGAAGGCTAGAATCTGGGTTCAGAATTACTCCACAAAGGCAGAACGGGACAATTCACCATGGCCAACTCTCCACAGTCGACTTGCCATGGCCAACTCATTATGGCCAACTTGCTACAGCCAATTTTCCATGGCCAACTCAACATAGTCAACTCACCATGGCCAACTCTCCACAGTCAACTCGCCATGGCCAACTCTCCATGGCCAACACTCCATGGCCAGTTCACCATGGCCAACTCTCCATGGCCAACTCACTATGGCCAACTCACAATGGCCAACTCTTCATGGCCAACTCTCCACAATCAACTTGCCATGGCCAACTCATCGCAGCCAACTTGCTGTGGACAACTCACCAAGGTCAACTCAACATGGCCAACACACCACAGCCAACTCGCTGCGAGACAATTCAACAATTCAATTTAATTATTTTAATTTGTTGTCATTCACATTTCATTTGGTCCCCTCCTTTGACATCCTTTCTTTAATGATTTTATTCCACCGTTCCTTCGATATTAATGTAACTCTAGTCCTGTGATGAGTTGGCCATGGGGAGTTGTGTCCCGTGGCAAGTTGACTGCAGCGAGTTGGCCCTGGCGAGATTGCTGTAACGAGGTGTCCAAGACCCTTGCAAAGCCCCTGAACTAGCCTCTCTCCAGCCCCAGCCCGGCACATTAAGACTATCCTGGCCACGGTCATCCCCCAAGCCGTTGCTTTCTCCACCACCAAAAGGAGCCCCGGGTAGCTGGGTCAATGGGAATTGTAATCCTGCCACAAAGTTCAGCTAAGGCTACTTCCTTCTCTCGTCCCACGATCAGGCAGGTCGCTGCCCGCAATTTGGCCCAGGCAGATTCCAGAGACTAATATGAAAGTCATACACATCTCACAGGGAAATTACAGGGGTCTGCGGGCTCCAAAGGCAAGCCTCCATTATCCTGTCTGCTGTGGCTTTAGGTTTGATTGGGAGTTTCCTTCAGGCTTTGCTTGTTTGTTTGTGTCCGACCCATCACTCCTCATCCCCACCCGGGCAATTCACCCCCAGCAAAAAAAATAAAAATAAAAAAAGAAGCTTTTGCCCCAGATATTGCAAAGTGGAATTGTGGAGGTGGGAGAAAATCCTTCTTTCTGAGAAAGAGAAAGGATATTTTAATTACAACTCGGCTTATAACCATTCGTTTAGCGATCGTTTACAACGGCACTGGAAAAAAAGGGGGGAATTTTGATGGTTTTTCACGCATATAGCCAGGGTGGGATTCAATTTTTTTTTAACAACCGGTTCTGTGGGTGTGGCTTGGTGGTCATGTGACTGGGTGGACGTGGCTTGTGACTAGCTGGGTGTGACTAACTCAATATAACTCACATCGAGGCACGCATCTCCTCGCCTGGCCTCTCGTGACTGTGGGGATGCTGCAACAGTCGTAAGGGTGAAAAATGGTCATAAGTCACTTTTTTCAGTGCCGTTGTAACTTTGAATGGTCACTCCACACAAGCAAAGGAAGGGAAAAAAACTCCAGAGAAGTTCCTGAGACAGGAAGTCTAGTCCTGCCAAGAATGTAATAAGGGTTAATGGAGAGGCAGTTTCTGTAAGCAACACCAGAATGTTTCCTTCCTGCCTTCCTTACAGGATTAGCCCAGTAATTTCTTCTAACAACCGATTCTCCGAATTGCTTAGAATGTTAACAACCGGTTCTAGCAAATAGGTGCGGACTGGTAGAATCCCATCCCTGCTTACAGCCGTTGCAACTTTCCCATGAAAATCTGCTGCCTTTGAGCCTAATTTTCCTCATTTTGTGCCCGGAGAGCCATTAAAAATAGACCTGAAATATTTCATTAGACCTCATGCATTGTAAAAAGCAAAACAAATAGGGGAAATAAAACATCAGGAAAGTTTAAGGCACATCCCCGGCTTCTTACTCTGCCTTCTGCGGTCTTAACCCCTCCACCTCCCAAAATATTAGCGCACCTTGTGTGTTTCCCAAAGCTTGTCTGTCCATGCACAATGATGTCTGTCCATGCACAATGATTTGGGTTGTACGTTGAAGATTACCTGTATTGACTTAATAAAAAAAAAGACCAGTTACGTATTGCCTTAGTGTGATGACCCAAAAGGGCGTGGCACAAAGGCAACACAGTCAGTTAATTGGTAAGAGTCCCTTTATTAGCTCCAACTTTGCCCCCAATGTCTTGGTTACCTTCTGGGCTGGAGAAAAACTCTCCCAGGAACAGCCTTTGGCTGCAGAGAATCAAGTCCAAAACATGAGCAACACAAACTGTAACTTAAAGTCCAAACAATGCAAAAGGAGGCAATTAGTCCAGCAGAGCAGGAGCAGGAATTCCAGATATGAAGACATGGCAATAACACAGTTGAGAGGATGCTAGGAACACAGATAAGCAAAGTCAACACAAGATAAACTCACGGTTTGTTCCCAGAAGCTGCCGCACTCAGCCTGCATGTCTCTTAAACTTTTTTCCCAGGTGTGGCTAATGAAGGGGATCAGGGCCCTTTCCTCCCCCGTAAGCCATGCAACCCACGTTGCTCTCTTCTCCATTCCTCCCTGCCCTAGGATGAAGAGGAGGCGGGCCTGGTTCTTCCTCTGAATTCCCTCTCCCTTGTTCTATCTCTCCCCTGCTCTTCCCAGCCGGACTTTGCCCTTCCCCAATTTCCTCCACAGCCAACAGAGCCATACTACCGCTCTCTGTCAGCTGTTCATCTTCCTCCTTGGATTCCGACTCCCAATGGGGACATGACACTTAGAAATTTGGATCAGTCCTACTGCGAAGGAGCCCCTTCAAGGCTGCCATTTTTCCTGTGCCAATTAGCGCACATTTGTTGGTGTTTCTGTTTTGCTAACACGCTCCCACATGTTTTAAGAGCGTGCAATGTAAAGTGTAGGCATTAATTTGGCACGAAGCACAACTTAGCGCTAAGCTCTTGTGGGAATTCCAGACGCTCCCATCCTTATTTCATTGTTAAGAAATACAGCCAAACATTTCCTTCAGGAACAGAAAGTAATATATCTAGTGTCCCAAAGGTGTTTCTTTTTTTCTTTTTTCCAAGAAGCAACTGGACTTTCTTGTTTTTTTAATTTTGAAGACGTTTCGCTTCTCATCCAAGAAGCTTCTTCAGTTCTGACTGGATGGTGAGGGATAATGGAAGGATTTATACTCCCTGTAGACAGCTGGTCATTTGCAATCCTTTTAGAAGGTCGTTGAGGCCACTTGGACTTTATCTGTGTCCTCGGGGTCACCTGAGTAGTGCAAATGGGTGTGGAGCCTTCTTGGAACCGGTTGAAAGGATTGTGTTGTAGACTGGAGATAGGTGGTATCATATCCCTCCTCCTCTGTTATCCAATCCACAACATGGTCCTTTAAATGGTTCCAAGAAGGCTCCAAAAAGCTCTCTAAATGGATGCAAATGACCAGCTGTCTGCAAGGAGTATAAATCCTTCCATTCCCCACCATCCAGCCAGAGCCGAAGAAGCTTCTTGGATGAGAAGGGAAATGTCTTCTAAGAAAAAACATAGAAAGCCCAGTTGCCTCTTGAAAAAAGCTCCTTTGGGACAACCCTGGCCTGGATGACTGAGAATCTCCAGAGACCTAGTGCCCTTCCCTTCCCTCCTCACCCCCTGCAAGAACAACTCTCCTTGATTAGTTTCCATCCATCACTTCTTGTCTTGCCTTCTGGTGCTTTGGAAAATAAGTGGACCCCCTCTTCTTTGGGTAAAAGGTAAAGGTTCCCCTCACACATCTGTGCTAGCAGTTTCCTGCTCTAGGGGGCGGTGCTCATCTCCATTGCAAAGCCGAAGAAGAGCCAGCGCTGTCCAAAGTCGACTCCATGGTCATGTGGCCGGCAGGACTAAACGCCTTCGAAGGCGCACGGAACGCTGTTCCCTTCCCACCAAAGGGGCCCCTATTTTTCTACTCGCATATTTTACACGCTTTCCAACTGGTAGGTTGGCAGAAGCTGGGACAAGGAACGGGGAGCTCACTCCGTGACGTGGCGCTAGGGGGTTCGAACTGCCGAACAGCCGACCTTTCTGATCGACAAGCTCAGCGTCTTTAGCCGCTGAGCCACCGCATCCCTCTTCTTCTTTGGGGCAGCCCTTCAAAGACTGCTATCAACCCCCTCTGCCCTTTTGTCCCTCCAGAGGTAACGCAGTTCACATCTGCTTTCATTTCGGAAAAAATCCTCTTGCGCCTTCTGAAGCACCGCGATGTCATCAACGAGCTGAAGTTTGACGAGGAGAACAAGAAGTCTCCCCGCCATTTCCTCTTCAACCGGAACAAGCCGGCTGATTTCTTCATCCTCATCCTTCAGGTAACGGGGCTGCTCTGGATTCAAGCGGAAAAGGATCTGTAAGGAAGGGAAGGGCGGGGCAGCGGTGGGCTGCAACCGGTTTAACAACTGGTTCTGTGAGCGCACGCATTGCT